ATTCTTTCCGAGTCAACGGAAATGGACCGAACAAATTAACGTCCAAATTCTGTTCCAGTGCTGCGTCACCGTATTTGGACCTTTGAGCCGTGTATCGTGTTGGAACCCATTAGGGTTGCGTCAAGGGTTGTTTGCACAACCCTAAACTCTATATATCAATACCCACCGTCACCTTTACAGTTTGGGTTTTGCTTAGATTATTCAGTCAAGAACTGTTTCGCAGCTAGATCGGTTTGTAAGACCCCAACTTGTGAGTTTAATCATTCATCTGCAATTTTGGTTGTATTCTTCCTTGTTTTTGTTTGTGTTCTTTGATTTGTAAACAGGAATTAGCCTTCTCAGCGAGATCAACTACGTTTCGGCACGGTTGATAACTAGAGGTGACGTGGTGCTGCGATTGTGGGGCTCAAGGGCGTGTTAGTTCAGAAGCTGGATCTATTTGTGTCGCGACTCCGCTTAAATCAACTGTTTATCAGAACCTTTCAGAAGATTGGGAACTCTGGTCCACATTAAGTAAACATTAGTAAGATGTAATATTCTACGAGGAAAGGAAAACAAATATGGATGTGATCACCACAGTGAAGACATTAACGTAGTGTAGTATTGACCTGCGCGCTGTTTTTTATTCGTGATTTGTTAATCATATATACTTGCTAAACATATATAATTAGCTGCAGATTAAACACGATCTGAATGTAACATGCTGTTACCTAATATATGTCGTGATACTTCCAAGTTGCAACAGCCAGTACCTTCTTTGAGTGGTTAATGCCGAAGAGGTACAAAACCATCACACCACACGTACGATTGGATTTGTACTGTTAAATTTAAACGTGAAAAACTGAAAATTATACTTGGGAGTTGTTCAAAGATCTTTGATACTTCATCCATCCAAAATAAGTTGATATAGTACGGGATATGACATATTTTAGTCCTACAAATCTGATCAGGTGGAAACCTCCACTGCTGCACAAACCCTTTGTAGCCCCGGTTTGCAACAACCTTTAATCCCTGATAGCAAACCGGGGCTACGAATCCGTGATTAAAGATCGTTATCTTTAGTCCTGGTTGGTAACACCAACCAGGACTTAAGATGGTAGCGCCACGTGGCTGGCGCTACCATTTTTATTCTTTTTTCTTTTATTGTTTTTTTTGCTGCTTGCATCTCCTGATTTCAACCACACACGCCGTCATACCCAAATCCCAAGAAATCATCCATAAACCATACACAACAAAATCATCCACAATACATGCCCATCCACAATCCACAAATCAATCACAAAATCATCCCCAAATCAACAAATCATTCACAAAATAAAAAAAATCCACTGGCCGCTGGCCACCCGGCCTCCCCTCCCGCCAGATCTGGTGAAGGGGAAGCTGCCGCCCGCCGCCTCCGCCGCTGCCCGCCGCCTTTGGGGGGAGGGGGAGGAGATGGGGAAGGGGGAAGGGGAGGAGAGGGGAGGGAGAGAAGGGGGTGAGAATGAGAGGGGAGGAGGAGGGGGAGGAGATAAGATCGAAGGTTGACGAGGTGCTCGATCGACGCGCGGCTCGGACTAAAGATGCCCCGGTTGTATATACCAACCGGGACTAAAGATAATGGGGGTCTGGCATGTTTTTGAACCGGGACTAAAGATCAAAAAGTTGTACTGGGCTTTTTAACCGGGACAAAAAATGAGGAACCGGAACTAATGCGGTTTTTGGCTAACCCGACAAAGATGGTTTCTCCAGTAGTGCTCTCCAGATTTATATAGTACTATGACATGTCTCATCCTTTACTATATTAATTTATTTTGGGATGAAGGAAGAAGTTATTAATTAACCCTACTGAAAAAATGTCATCAATACAGATTGAAAAAAGTCATCTCTACCGGTTGTAGCTACGAACCAAAAATATTTTTAATACTCCTATCATCCTTACATACCACTTCAGTGTTGGATGTAGACATGAACACTCCTACCATCTTTATCGCTGTATAATATGAAGTCTCACGTCTCAACCACTAGGACCTATCTTTTCAAGTCAAATATAATCCTTTTCATGGGGGAATTCGAACCTGAGATCTCTCCCACGCGTGCACCTATATTTACCAACACGCCTACAAGCCTATTAGAAAATGAATATTGTTTTCCTTTTAAGCCTTCCTAATTGAGATTTGAATCATGGATTTGAGTATGTAAAACAATTCAAATAAAAATATTGTCAATGATAAAATTGTAGTTCTTATCAAGAGCTACAATTTTTATATACACTTTGTCGCAGTTCGAGTTCGTATGAAAAATTAAAGTTCATATCTAAAACCGACATTAATATGACTAGGGTCATTAGTATCAGGTCATAAGAATACATCGCCTTTTGATGTGAGTTGTATTAGTGTCGGGCCGGTATCATGATATTTCCCGCCAACAAGCCTACCCATCTCCGATTGGCTTGAACCAATACTGATTCCTTAATGATAAAATTTGCTATAGGACATTAAAAAACATGTAATTAGCTGAGAGACACCGCAAAAATGTGTATTTGCTATAAGACATCTTTAAAAACTGGTAATTAGCTGCTGGACACCCGCGGTATTATTTTATTATTTTCAGAGGAATAGGAGAGAGAAACCATGTTTAAAAACAAGTTTGCCCTTGGCTCAAATGAATCCAACGTGGGCCCCACATGTGACCTTAAATGTAAGCCCCTCTCTCTCCCCCCCACGCAGCGCCGCTTTGACCAGCCGGAACACGCCGGCGGTGGCAACAAGTCCAGTAGGCTCTTCGTCGTGTAATCAGGTCCCGCGCTGCGACGTCGTGTGGTGAAGCGGCCGAGCATGCGGTGGCGGGGCGAATGGAGGTTGCCGCTAGGGCAGAAATCTTTGACAATGCAGGAGTTGTCCTAGCCGGCGTTGAAGTCGACAAACATGGTGTGCAGGAAAGTGTGGTCGAGCCAGCGCAGGACGCGCTTCTCCTTTGAGGCGACAGAGGTAGACGTTCCCGATGTCCGCGGCTCTGACGCAGCGGACGAGGGTGAAGTCCCACGGGCCGAGTGGCGCAGCGGCGGCACAGATGGGCGCCTAGAGAGGTCGGCGGCGTCGTGCGGATGTGGCTGGGAGGAGGTGGGCATGGCCGAGTCGATAGAGAACATGGAGGAGCGGCCAGCGACACTCGGCCGTCCTTGCCTGCACGCCGACATCCGTCCGTCCTTGCCTGCGCGCTGGCATCACCTCCCCTCCTGCTCTGGCGCCACCTCTACTGCGTCGTGCTGGTCCCGGCACTTGCGCGCGACCGCAAAGCGCCACCCCATCCAAGGCGCCACACCGGCCCGCGCCTCGTCGCGTGGTCACCGGCGCTCTCCCTCCCCGTCGGGTTCACTTCAAGAAAGAGCAAAGAGAGAAAGAATTTGATAGAGAGAGAAAATAATAAGGAAGAAGGAGTAGAGAAGGATAGAGAAAAACAAAAAGAAAAAAAAATCTAAGGGTAGAACCGTACTTACACAGTTGTTTCTCTCTCCAATTTCTCCGGATATAATAAAATAATCTCACGGGCGTCCAGCAGCTAATTACCAGGTTTTCATGGTGTCCTATAGCAAATACACGTTTTTGTGGTGTCTCACAGCTAATTACATGTTTTTGGATGTCCTATAGCAAATTTTGCCTTGGTTAATCATCATTGCCGGGTATTCAGATAAACCAGCACTAATTGGACACTGAATAATCAGTTTCCTCTACTAGAGAAATGATCTTTGCTGGGTCACTCAAAATCCACAATAGTCCCGGTTCCTTAAAAGAATATGTTTAGTCCCGGTTCAAAATTCCTACGGAACTTTTTGATCTTTAGTCCCGGTTGAAAACACCAACCAGGAGTAAAAGATCATTTTTAATCCCGGTTCAAAAATTTTCAGGCCTTATCAGGACCCCTATTATCTTTAGTTTCGGTTGGTGTTATCAACCAGGAATAAAAATCAATACACCGTATATAATCTCTTACACTTATCCTTACCAACTCCTCCTCCTCATCTGTAGCTTCTTCCTTTTCCTCTCTTTCCTTCTCCTCTCCTCTCTGTCTTATCCTCAGGCTTCTCTCTCTCATCCTCTCCTTTGCGCAGCAGCTATATAGAGCGAGCGAGAGGAGGGCAGCGGGTTTTTTTTGCACAGAGCGAGGAGCGAGCGAGCGGCAGGCGGCGGCAGCCTCCTCTGCGCGCCGGCCTGCGGCGGCCTCTGTGGCGGGCGGTGCTTTTGTTTATTTGTTCACATGAATTTGCTTATTTGTGATGTAAACTTGTCATGTGAATTTGTTTATTACGTGGATCTGTGAATTTGTTCATTGTGGACCTATAAATTTGTGATGCCAATTTAAGTATGTTCATTCGATCTGTGAATCTGTGAATGATTTTGTGATGTTTTGTGAATGGGGATGATTTGTTGTTGAGTTCGGTTTGAAATCAATATAAGTAGCAAAAAAAAATTAAAAAACGGAAAAAAAAAGACTAAAGATGGGAGCGCTAGCCACGTGGCGTGCCGATCTTTTATTACCTGGGACTAAAGATCTATCTTGAGTCCCGATTATTTCACCTAGGACTAAATATAACCATCTTTATCCTGGATTCGTGGTCCCAGTTTACAACCAGAGACTGAAGGGGGCTGCAAACCAGGAGTAGAGAGGGTTTTCCAGTAGTTTTTGTTTGTTGTTGATGATATGATCCAGCACTGATGTTTTCTCAACCGTGCTAGATCTTGCCTCTGCGTAGCGTAAGAGTACGTACGTATTTTGTTGGTCGGAAAATCATCATCAGTGCTGGGTTTTGTTGAACCGGGTGTTGAGATGATGACAGCACTTATGTACTCTTCTAAAGTAGCGTAAAAGGATGATTGATATGGAAGAAAAAAATTAGTAACTTAATAAAAAGATAAACTTAAGAAAAGGTATTTATTTGTGTAGGTAGGAGGTCGTGATCGTCGGTAACATCGAGGCACAGTTACAAGCTATTCATGTAAAATCCTAGTCTTGCAAATGGTGTGGTTCGCGTCAACGCATGTGGAAATGAGAGGAAGGAAGCTCCCGAAAATATCTCTTGCTCGATATAAACGGGCCGGGTCAGGCGCGAACCTAAAACTTTCGGAAGAGAATATCTGCAGCTTGATCAGTTCCAAAACTGAGATATATCTGCAGCTTGATCAGTTCCAAAACTTTAGCTGGGCACGCACTACCGGCAGGTATACTCGATCGCTTTGCTTTAATTTGCACTATTTAATTTGTCCATGCCACTGACAGATTCCTCCTCTTGGCAGCAGTTCAAGGACAAACCAATTTGAAGGCGGCTAGCGCCAGCACAGGCATGCCGATCTCGCATGAGCTGGGCGAGCCTGACGAAAGCTTCTACAATCTATGGAAGGAAGAGTGTGAAGAACTGTGGGAGGAAGAGGACGAACTGTGGGGGGACGAAGATGTTGAGGAGGAGCTGTCGCTGCGTCACCCTGGATTCAACAAGTGGACCGTCCAGCAGGGTGCTGCAGGCGGGGACCATATTCGCGCCAAGGACAAGAACTTTTACTGCTTTGAGGTCCAAGGTAACAATTGAATATATAAACTTATTTTTTTAACATAACGGGTAATCTCAACCTTTTACTTCTGAAGGTAACCACTCGCTATATACCTCCGTTAATATATGATGTTGGTTAGTTCAAAATAGAGTAATATATATTGTTTGCAGCTCCAGAGGTATAAAACATAACAAATAAAGGAAGACAACAACATGTGAACATAAATAAACTGATGCTAGCAAGCTCTCTTATACTCCCTCCGACCCATAAAAAACCAACTTACACTACTACAAAACATCAAATAGGTATCGCCAGATGCCAGTAGTGTTTAAACTGGCACCTATAGGCCTTTTCCCACCTTCGCGGGTTGAAATTGTAAAAAAAGGGCACCTTTAAGTAATAATAGGTGTCGGTTCTAATTAAAAACCGGCATCTATTCTATTTTGTGCTGGTTATTTTTAAAAACCGGAACCTTTAATATTAAAAACTGGTACCTATAATAAATTATAGGTGCTGGTTTTTTTTTAAAAAAACCGACACCTATAATTGAGCCGAGCCGGCGGGCCCCACCACGACGCTTCGAGACTCGATAGGAGATAAGGTCGACCGCTCGCTCGCTCGTCTCCTCTCAGTCTCTCTCTATCTCGTTCTCTCCGCTCTCTCTCCCCTCTCTCCTCTTCTCTTTCTCCTCTCCCTGCATGGCAGCGGTTGGAGGAGCGGCGTGCGGCGGCGGCCGCGCCATCCCCTCTGCCGGATCTGGCGAGGGCCGGCCCAGCGGCGGCAGCAGCGGGAGGCGGCATGCGGCGGCGAGGGGGGGGATGCGGTGGCGACCTGGCGGCGGCGCCCTCCCCTCTCGACCCTCTCTCGCTGCCCACGACCGACGGCCGCCCCCCCCCCCTCCGCCAGATCCGGGGAGGGGCGGCCCAGCGGCGGGAGGCGGCATGCGGCGGCGGAAGGGAGGGGGGATGCGGCGGCGGGACAAGAGGCGATGGTGGCCTAGCGGCGGCGCTCCCTCCGTCGGATCTAGCGGCCTTGCAGCAACCATTTTTTGTGATGATTTCTATGATCAATGTTCTGTGATGATTTCTGTGAAATATTTTTGTGATGTTCTTTTCTGTCAATGATTGGGGATGAGCTCGATGCATCGAGCTTTTTTTTGGCTCGCGAGTGGTCTAAAGGTGTCGGTTTTTAAAATGTGATTTGTGCCGGATCACTCATCTGTGCCGTCTTCATTGTGCCGGTTGGGAAAACCGGCACCTATTAGGGTTTCCCAACCGGCACCGTTTACCCTTTCTGTAGTAGTGTTAGTACTAAATGTGATACATTCTAGTACTACGAATCTGGATATTACCTCTGTCCAAATTCATTGTATTAGGATGTGTTATATTCAGTAATAGATTTTTTTTTTGAGACGGAGGGAGTATATAGTACCCACTCATTCGACATTTGGCCCTGCATTTATTTTCTCAACAATTTGCTAGTTTGAGTGGAGGATTTCTGTTTACGTACTGTATTTATTGTCTCTGTGTTCAGACAATTTCAATCCCAAAAAACTCCTATTCATATATGAGAAATGTTTCAGATCGACTAGTCTCTAATATTATTTAAAAAAACACAACGATGCCATCGACATGAGGAGTTTTTTTTAAATAATATTACAAATTGCAATATTGGTGGGAGGGTCTATGCGAAATTTAAATAATATTACATGAGGAGTAATATTACGATGTCAACGATGAACATAGTCTCTAATATTATTTAAAAAAACACAACGATGTGGGAGGGTCTATGCGAAATTTTGTATATACATGAGGAGTTCTTTTTTTTTTCATAATAGTCATCCATGTATAAATCTTTCCAAGGAGAAAAACAATTGCAAAATCTGATGAAACCGAAATGGGATGAAGTGTTATGAGCTGAGAGTACCAACAGAAACAGATAATACTTTGCACGAAGTTTTCAACTATTAGTAAATTGTGTTCATAACCACCAATTGTTAGTTACCCCATAATTCTTCACGTTTCGATAATATTAAGATCAAACTTTTCAACTTTGACTATCCATAACTTTTTTAAAAAGTAGTTTGAAAACAATTGAAACATATATAGATTAGTTCTAAAAACTACTATAATAAAAGTAAATATTTCCAAAACATAAATTATGGAACCGGGGGGTGTATCAATGCTTAATAAGTTAATCAACCTATCATTCCAGATTAACTCCAATCTAAAATTGTTCTTAATTAAGTTAAATATAGTTAGTGGTAAAACTATTATCTCTGTCATAAAATAGGATTTCTAGGCTTTTTTAGGGAGATAAATAACATGCTCGTGCGCACAGCGCTTATGACTAGATTTCTTCATCAGTTCTGTCTCGGTTTATTTCCTCTCGCGCTATGCACGGATGACGGGATGGAAGGAGAACGATTCTTACATAGGATTTTCGCAAGCGGTGAAGCAACCACTTGCAGAAATCATCATTTTTTTTTTCAAATAGATAGTGCAAGGATGCAAATCTACTGCTGTACTACATCCACAGTATGTGTCACTGACATGTGGGTCCCACCTATTCCGGGCCCACATGTCAGTGGCACTTACTGCACATGCATTACAGAAGAGAATCCCAACTCGTAGTGCAACCGCTTGTGTAAACTAGGAAGGTAGCCCACGCACATGTGCGGGCAGCTGCTTGAATTTTTATCGTTGAAGCTTATGTGTGGTTGATTATTTTTGTTGAAATATTCATTATCATTGTTCTAAACCTGTTTTCGTCAATAATTATTTCTTTTACTTATTTAGGGCACTAATTCAAGAACACACAACAGAGAATTTCCCAAACACTATAGTCAAAGCCTCTAGCTAGATGTGTATTTCAGATCACACCCAGTGTTTGGTACAGATTGGCATCTCAATTCCTAAGGCCTCTATTTTCATATTTGAAAACTTTTGGGTGGAGCTTGAGGGATTTTTTGAGCTAGTGAATTCTTCATGGAGAAATCATGGTTGCTGAAATGATGAAGAAGAAAGACAAGTTTAGCTACAGGATGTCGCGACTTCATGATTTAAGCTGTAGAACACCGCACGTGATCACTTTTGTGAGGAAAATACTCTCTAAACATGGTTATTTGTTAGTGGACATCGCTCCCATTAAAATATTAATTTTCGGCTGAATAAGAGAGATAAACGGTGTGAAAGGTCAAAATATCCCTGACCCCACTTGTCATATTCTTCTTCCTCCTTAATTCCCTTTTTCTCCCAATCCCACGCCGTCGTCGACGACGGCGTCCTAACCATGGGCTTCTAGAATAACAACCGCGTCGGGCTGGCGACTCTGGAGTCGACAGGATGTGTGGCATGTTGAGGAGGCGCGGCCTGCCACGGGAAGAGGCGGCTGCTGCGATTGCAAGGGCGGTGGCGGTGGCGGTGGTGGCACCGGGTGGTACTTGTGGAGCAGTGGCATTGGTGGTGGGAGCAAGGACGACGTTGTGGACAACGGAGGTGGTAGCGCAGCCACAACGCCACCATGTCCTTCATGTGTTGCCGCCGCACTGTGTAGTCCTGCTCCACCATAGACGTTGTGCACCCTATCAACCCCCACGAACTGGTGCCACTACTGCCAATGCCGACCCGTGCACCACATGCCGCCGATGGTGCTCCCCACATCCTCCTCCCGCACCTCACTTGATCTACACCGTAACTGTCGTGGGCGTCGTCGCACGGTGTCCCCGCTCCGCTGCTGTCCTGACTGTCCCCGTTCCTCCGTTATCGTCGCACACTCCACCCGCTGGTCGCGCCACTGCTCACGGCTCGCAGTGCTCACCGGAGAAGAGAGAAAGGAGAGAGATAGAGGATGAGATAAGGAAGAAGATCTAGAGGATGAGGAAGACAAATGATGGACAATTTGGTCACTCCACATATAAATATGGCCCCCCTATCGCCTCGTTAACACAAATGCATTATTTTAATGGACGCGGTGTCCGCTGGCAAGTAACCACATTTAGATAGTGTTTTCCCTAAAGATTGAGTTCGTGTGGTATCCTACAACTAAAACTAAGAAGTCACGATGTTCTGTAGCAAAATTTGCCAAGAAAAAAGTATTACAGTTAAATTTAAGTTTTTGAGGAAGACACTTAAGAACTGGAGTAAAACATTGTCAAAGCTGAATAGGTTGATAAAAAACTGTAATTCAGTGGTGGATTCTATTGATAAATTAGTGGAGTCAAGAGATTTAAAAGTAGAAATAGAATGGGACTTCTGAAAGCTGATCAGATCAAAAGTTTTGATCTACGTACCTGAAGTACAAACAGGTCTATCTTCTAAATGAAAAAAGGGGTCTATGCCCAAACCACATATTTTCCTATATAGCAAAATATGAGTAATATTGATCTCAATTTATTGTTTAATTACAAATTAAATAACAATTTTAAAAATTAAAAACTAGAGATTTTGTTTAGTACATGACCACTTTCATACGTACAGGAGGGAGGGAGGTGGGGATGGTCGTACAGGAGTGAGGGAGGTGTTGGTGGAAGGGATTTATTTTTTAAAAGATTTGATCTAATAGTTGAAAATACTGGGTCCACCAAATTGAGTGAAAATCAATGATTAGATGTTTTTATTTTCTTAGAATTTTTAGGATTTCCTCTAATTTATTAGAGTGGCACTTGGTGACTTAAAAGCGTTCGTAGGATACTACGTAGCGGCGTAAGAGCGTTTATAAGAAGTTTAATGGACTAAAAACAATTGTTTATGTATAGTAGCATTGAGACGCTAGTGATTGCACGTTCACTACCCGCTAAAACTCCTTGGAAAAACAGATCTAATCATTTATGGTAACAAATTATGGTGTCTATCTTTTAACTGCTTTAATTAGGAAAGAAAATAAGAGAATGAGGGGGAGGAAATGGATAGATCGTGCACATGGAGGGATTTGTACGTACGTACATACGTGTGGGGCCGGCCAGGAGAGAAGGGTGAAGGGGATTTAGTTTTGATCTAATGGTTAATATTATCGGGTCCACCGTTTTAAATGAAAACTGACGGTTAGATGTTTTTCTTTTTTACAGATTTTTCTATAATTTATTAGAGCGCCACATGGCGGTTTAGGAGCGTTTGTAGGATGCTACGTGACGGCGTAGGAGTATTTGTAGGAAGTTTAATGGACTTTTAGTATATAATAGAAGATAGATAGATAGAAGATAGATAGATAGATAGATAGATAGATAGATAGATAGGATTATCGCTGAAAACAATTTTGTCGTCTGTCTATGAAACTTTTTTTTAAAAACAAAAGTAATATAGAAACCCTAGCTCCCACTCTTAGGAAAAAAAAGAAGTCGTCGCCACCACAGTCCACCATCATCATTGCCGCTATCGCTGTCACCGCTCGCGAAGCCAACATCATTGTTCTGCCTGGATCCGCCTACCCAGCCGCAAGATGCTATGGCCTATGCGCATGTTTAGATACCTGCCAAAAATTTTACATAATATTACATTAAACGTTTAAACACCTGCATGAAATATTAAATATAGGTAAAAGAAAAAAAACTAATTGCACAGAATGCGACTAATTTACGAGACGAATGTTTGGGCCTGTTCACTTTGCCATTTTCAACCTTACCAAATTCTGGTAAAGTTGTAAAAAAAAGTGGCTACATTTAGTTTGTTGCCAAATTTTGATAACTATATAAGAAATCCTACCAAAATTTTGGCATTTTAGCTATGCCAAAATTTTGGTAATGAAAAAATTTGGTAAGTTTTTTTTGGCATCAAAGTGAACAGGCCCTTTTAAGCCTAATTGCTCCATGATTTAACAATATTGTGCTACAGTAAACATTTGCTAATGATGGATTAATTAGGCTTAATAAATTTGTCTCAGAGTTTATTGACGGATTTTTTTATTAGTGCCCGAACACCTCGTACAAAGGGGCGGATCCAGGAACAAAAAATTTGGAAGGCTCAATTATATACTTTCTTCAACCTCCAGCCATTTACGGACTTTTAGTTTATCATTCATAGTGAAAAAATTGAAGGGGGTGATCTAGGGATATCCATAGGTCTTGGGTGTAGGGAAGACTCGAGTCCTCCTACACCCACATTGGATCTGCCCCTACCCTATATAATATACAATGTGATACGTCAAAACTTTACCTCTAGCCATCCCCTGTGACCCTATCTTCGTCAGGCTGTCGGTACCAGATCCGACTGTACACTCCAACAACGGACTGCCCCTCCCGAGGCCAGTACCGGCGGACCCACCATCCCTTAGGTCGTCGTGGTTGCCTAGTTGTTGGCTTGTTGCCACCCCTCCCCACCCTTTCGTTGGTGCCATCTAATCCACCCGTCATGGCACCGGCTATGATGGATCCGCCCATCACAGGGCCGGCGGCAGTGGAACCGCCTGCCACGGTGCAGGCCATTCAGGGATAGAGGGAGGAGAAGGAGAGGAGGGACTTACAGGAAAACGAGGAAGACATGGAGCCCTATGGAAGGAATTTTGTATGCGGGCCGACATGAAGCCCTACGGGACGATTTTCGTATACGTGTCTCTGGTCAAGTGCATCTGTAAAAAATAAACTTACATTTTTGTAAGTAGATTTTTTGCAAACAGGTCGTTACTCGGCACCTCCCAAATATAGAATTGTAAGTAGATTTTTTTTGCAAGCGTAGGCATGAAGTATATAACCACCAAAATCTCAAATCCAAAATAAACTTGATCTGGGCGAAAAAAAAGGAACAAATTTGTTTTTTTGTCCCGACTGAAATTGAGTTTATACAAGATTTGGGGTAATGTAGTTCATGCTGATGATAGTAATTTTTCTATAAATGTACAAAATTTTTTGGTCTAGTTTTTTATTTATACTTTTCATTGGATATTTACCCAATTACAAATCCATATATATTGTGTATTAAGGTGATTCTTGGTTTAGGGATGATCGAGTTAAGATGGGAGAGAACCATCCTATTTTAAGTTGTTTGGTTGGGAGTTAAAAAGGAATGAGGTGTTCCTTCGGGAAGAATATCCCCCAATATATATACGGCATGTTTGGTTGGGTGGAATTGTTTGGGGGGAATGGGAGTTTGAGGTGTGAGGATTATTAAGTTTATTGTTTGGTACGAGGACGTGTGAATTTTAGGAAGGATTGAGAAGGGGAGTTTAAGAGCTAGCGCACTCTCACCTTTTCAATATCTAGATAGAGACATGTAATTGAGATGGAACTTCTTTCCAAGTACGCCAAGATAAATCTGAGCCAACATCATCATTTAAAATCTAATACCTTCTCATCTATGCTACTAAACAAGGAACTGGAAGTAAAAATAAAACTCCCATGATGAATCCCTCCACCAACTCCCTCTAAACTCCCAATCCCTTTTCCATCTCTTGCCAAACAGGCTGACAAGAGCTGAAAACTTATGAACCACTCCATCCTATTTTCTCTATCGTTGACATGCGGGCCACATGTACCATCCCATCCCTTTCATCCTAAAACAATAAAAATAGGATGGGAGAGCCCTAACCTACCACGCAGCATGACCATCCCATTGAAATAAAAATATAGGGAGAGCCCTAACCTACCATTTATCCTCAAACCAAACCCACCCTAAACTTAAATTAATAGATTCACAAAATGTTGATTAAATAAATATTAAGAAGTATGTTTATGGAAAATCAATGAAGAGTCGTTCAAATAAAACGTGGCACAAAATTAACGGAGGTAGTACCTAGGAGCCACCCTCTACATACCCTACTCTATTCATATCTATACCTTCTATATAGTTACGACCCACTTAATTTAAAGCCCAACATATAAAATTGTTATATCATCATCTACTAGCCATAATTACATATCAAACATCATGCAAATATGTAACATCATCTATAATTTATTAAATTCTACAAATTAACATACAAGTATATATCCCCATCATCGCCTCTCACATTATTTGCACAATGTTTCAACATATCCATCCATCAAATTTATAATATTTAATATATATTCCATATATTCTATATCAAATACAGGGTATCAGTTATTGTTTTTATCATGATTATTACTAATAAACCCTAACTTTTTATCATTTTTTTCCTAACTTCCGCTTTTTCCGATATAAATCTTCATCAACTATCCTAATGTTTTATCTACAATCTCGGTAATCCTACATATAGTCTACTACGATTATTTGTTGTTAATAACGAGTATCTTTTTACTCCCATCTTGATTGTTGACGAGAGAAAAAAAGATTGTAATGTCCACAGCAAAGTACGGGGAACCACTTACTTTCAAAAGAAACTCGTCCAAAAAATTAACGATGTTGTGAAAATAATTATTGCTAAAAATGAATAAATTTAATAAAACCCCACCAATTATGGTCCAACTTTCACAAAATCACAGTATTTCAACACATAACATATAATCCCTCCCTAGTATTATGATTCTAAAGTTTCACAACGCCACACCATCCACTTTGACATAATCCTATTTTAAAATTTTAAAAAACAGATGTAACATTTATATGATGGATGAAATCCTCATAAACTTGAGACGTGATTGCAGGACACAAAAGTGTTGTAAATGAAAATCAATATGATCAATAATGTGGTTATGAGAAACTCTAATACCATAATAGCTGAGATTATATGTCACATACCAAAATTTATATGGTTTTGTATAACTTGTACCATAAATAGGTTGAGTTTTACAAAATTTACTGAAAAAACTAATGCTAAATTCCTAAAGCTTTAATTTATGGTCCGTGCAAATGTTCATGCGCAGTTCACTTCACTGGAGAACTAGTTGACGGTACGCAGTTCGTGTCAAGCCGAGAAAATGACATTCCAGAGAGGTTTATACTGGGGCAAGGTATAAAACTATACATATGCAAATTTATGTTATTTTTAGGGGAAATTTCCCTAATCTTATTCTTGAGTTGCTCTAACTTTTATCCATTATATAATAACTATCTGCTGACCTGGTCAAAAGACAGACCAATGATTTATCGATCTTTATTTTCCTCTCCTTTTTGTAGAGGATGTGATGCATGGTTTCAACTTAGCTGTCAGTTCGATGCAACCAGGGGAGAAAGCTATATTCACTATCCCTTCAGCGTTAACCATGACAAAAGCTGGCTCCCCTGCTAGCATCCCGTCAAACATACCTCCCAACCAAACACTACGGTTTGAGATTGAGCTCATCGCCATGTTTACTATAATTGACATTTTCAAAGATGAAGGCATATTGAAAAAGATTGTCAAGAACGCAGAACCCGACAGAAAACAATCTCACTCAAGTGATTTTGTATTTGGTACATTCCTTATCTACCAATTCCAGTTGTACATGGAAATTGATTTCTTCATTAGCTCAATATTTCTTTTGCTATTTACTTTTCTTTGACTTTTGATCTAGTTTAGTTTCTGTTCCTTAATTCTAAAACCATGTAAACCTCGTTTGTTAACCCTAATAAAAGATAAAACCCAACTTGATGTCCAGTACTTTTACATTATCTCTAACGGTATTATATTCCACTTTTAATATTGCTACCAGTAGAAGTAATCTAAGCTGTTGATTTATTAGTTTTATTCAGATCGATGGTAGTATAAATAAATATAATGTATGGGATAAGAAAAAGATGACAAATGTAGATTAATTACTATACTACCAATATTATAGTATAGATCATTATGGAAGTTGTCCACGTACATTAATCAAGCCCTCAAACAGGCCTTACATAGTCACTTCGAATCCCACATGGGGTCAGACCACTATTGAACAGATTAATGGACAATGTTTGTTTCGTTCTCGGAGTTGGTAGATGAATTGAATCTAATTTGACAGTTGAGAGACGAAACATAAACCAGACCAGAGTTAAGGGATATGAGAAATATACCTTTTCCTTTGATGTTTTCTCCTAACTTTCTGTCGATTTAGTTTTCCAGTACATATATATTTTTTTCTCATTGACAGTGAAATACGACGCATGCCTGATGGATGGAACTTCAGTGTCCAAATCTGAAGGTGTTGAATTCAGCCTTACCGACGGTAGGAGAACTTCTTTTTCCCTGCTCTTTATATTTTTTTTGTCAGCACGCTTGAACATGAGATGATTTCAGTATTAATTTCTAACAAAATTGATGCTCCAGGCTTCTTCTGTCCTGCATTTGCACATGCTGTGCATACTATGAAAGAAGGAGAGGAAGCAGTACTAATTGTGAAACCAAAATGTAAGCAACAATTTACCAAAATCATGCCGCACTAGTATAAATCTTGATGCAGCAGTATATTAACTTGGTTACGCATATGCACGTGTATGTACTCTCTCTGTCCCAAAATATAGCAACCTAGGATAAGTCTAGAAGTACGAACGTGGACATACCCTACGTCCACATTCGTAGTACTAGGATGGGTCTAATCCCGTCCTAAGTTGTTGTATTTTGAGACGGAGGTAATATGCATGTATGTGTAGACGTCCTCTCATTTCATTATAAGTATGTAAGCACTGATGATCGGTCTCTCTGTTCTAGATGCTTTCGGTGAACAAGGAAGACCTTCTCAAGGAGAGGAAGCTGCTGTGCCCCCAGATGCAACTCTTTATGTGCACCTCCTATTTGTGTGCTGGATACGGCGAATTGGGGAAGACCAAGCAATTGCCAAGAAAACTCTAAGGATAGGGAACTCACAGAGGATACACACACAAAGTCAAGCTGTGGTGAAAGGTACTGCTTGTTAAAATATCAACAAATGAAATTAGCGAGATTTAAATTTTCCATTTTGACGAAGGCCTTAATTTTACCAAAAGGAAACTGATTCAGGATCTGTAGAGAAAAGTAGGTAGAACATTTAATAATTGGGTACTGTTTTTTTGTCAAAACTAATTGCAAAAACGGCAATAGGTCAAACACCTCATGGTTGATGGCACGGAAAAATCACGCAATGGTTTGTAGAGTACATACATGATATAATATCTGTACACTTTTAAAAAAGATGAAGGAATAGCTAGTCGTGGTGATGAGCGTTGAATATGCCACCACCATTTTAACATTTGTTCCTTTCTGAGATCAAAATGTCTAGGAAAAAGTTACAGTACTACTGACGATTGCCGATTTATAATCGCCTATTGTTGTGATAGTGTGATATTGTAAGTAATCACTGACTGGTTCTAGGGTTGAACCGCCGGTGATAATCATTTTCAGGTACGCGTTACTAACCGATTTGATTTGCATAATGATGCTCACTGCTGATTGACAACATACATGCATATATTCATACACAACACTTCAAACGCTATTTACACAACACTTCAATACGAGAAAGAAATAAACAAGGGGAGGCGCTAAACATTATGAGTGAAAGAACCATATGATGATAATATTGGAACATTTGGAAAATGCAAGAAGACTTACCGGTACCATGCCATTGTTTGGTGGGATAAAAATGGTTGGAAATGGTAAGAAACAGTATCATTATTTTATTGTTTTTTTGAAAAGGGACGAAAGAGATCGGAAAATTTTCATATTTATGAATTTAGCTATTAGTGTCAACTTCGATGCCACGCTAACAGATATTGAAAACGGTAACCATTGGTAAAATAATAATAATAATAATAATAATAATAATAATAATAATAATTATTATTATTATTATTATTATTATTATTATTATTATTATATTAGTTTTGTGAAAACGGTACCGGTACAGTCAGAAAATTTCCATATGTTTTCATCCCTACCTTAGTCGCATCGGACCGCTGCTCTATGTTAACAACAGCATGTCAGTTCCACCGCCGTTCCTACTCCCGGCCACCACTAGCTCCTTGTGAATGTGGTGGCTACTTGGAAGTCGCCATCACCGTCACCCACGCTCCACTACTGGAGAAACATTTTTCTCTCCGGTTCGCAACTCCCTCTACTGAAGAAAGAATCCATAACTGAAGAAAGAATCCATAACAAAAGATGACAGTTGTCGACGTTGGATATCGCGATTTCGGTATTTGCAGAGTATGGAGATCGTTGGTACTAGGATATATGCGAGATTGTAATAAAAGAGATGGGGACGAGGATTTTTATACAGGTTTGGGCCCTTGAATTGTCAGGTAATAACCCTACTCCTGTTGGCTGAAGCCGATCGTTGCTCTTATTCATCATAATCACACCAGTACAATATTTGGGGTAGTCTATCTATCTGTTGTCGACTTAGCGGACTGAAGTATCATCACGTAGTCGACAACAGGATAGTCTTCCTCCTCGAATCCATGCCCGGCGAGATCAGAGACAGCGCTAGATCCCTACAGCCGGCCTCTGAAGGTACCGGATAGGGTCAGTCCAGGCATATCTCTGATGTCGATATCCGGCGGCGTGTCTTGGCGTATATTAGCTTGTATGTTGATATTGTGTCTTGATCTATTGTTCCGTGTCCCATCTCCTCCTAGGGGGCTTTGTATTTATACCCATAGTTATCCCCTTGTCCAAGTAGAACTAGGGAAACCAATATGGATATAATCCGAGTAGGCCTTATCGTTTCCATGTAGAACTTTATTCATCATTCCTTATGCAGAACTCCTTCTATATCCGAAGGTTGTTTCCGTATAAGACATGGTATGTGGTGGGTCCTGTCGAGATTTAGTCAACTACTATTAGGTATGTGGTATCCATAACACTGACAGCAGTCTTTAGTCCCGGTTCAAATACCCGGGAGTAAAAATTCATCTTTAGTCTAAAGATGGCTGAGCCACGTCCCGGCTGGTCCCCTTTTCTTTTTTTTTCATTGTTTCTTTGCTGCTTGTCAGGGTCGATCCCTGTATTTCCTCCCAAATCGAGTGGGACACATATCCCAAATCAAACCCCAAATCAAAGTAACATCCCAAATCATTCACATCACAAATCCTAAGTTACTTATACAAACAAATCAAATACATTACAAATCCTTAAAAAATTACACACAAATCAAATACACCACAGATTATACATCTCAGATCCATGGAATGAATCACAAATTCTAAAAAAAATATACATCTCAGTAAATCACAAATTACCAAAAAAAGGGGACGCCGCCCGGCCGCCTCCATGCATGCGCGCTGGCCGCCGCTCGCCACGGCCGCCGCCTACTGCCGCTCGACACGGCCGGCCCCGCCGCCGGCTGCCGGATGGGAGGGGAGGAGGGGGGAGGAGAGAGGAGATGAGGAGGAAGAATGGGAGGTGGGGAGGAGAAGAGGGGAGGGGAGGAGGCCGGCTTGTGATCGGATCAGAGGGGAGGAGGAGAGGGGATGATCTGATCTTATCTAAATATCTTGTCTGGGACTTAACTAATCAGATATAGGAGAGAAATATTTACTCCCGATTGGAGTTACCAACTGGGACTAAAGTGGTAATCTTTACTCCTAGTTGGTAGTATCAACCGGGACTAAAAATCCTCAGCCCCTTGACATGCCTCTGATAGGGGATAAACCGGGGCTAAAGATTAAAATTTTTTTAACCGGGACTAAAAACAATCTTTAGTCCCGGTTCTAATAACCGGGACTATTTTGGAAATCAGCCGATCCAACAAGGATCACTTCTCCAGTAGTGCTCTAAGCATGGATCGACTAGGGTGGGGTTTGAATCATGGACTAAATTACAGTCCCTATCATATCGGATGTTTGGACAATAATTAGAAGTATTAAACGTAGACTAATAATAAAACTAATATAATAAATAAGAGCTAATTCACGAGACAAAAATTTTAAGCCTAATTAATCCATAATTAGCACATATTTACTATAGCATCATATAGGCTAATTATAGATTAATTAGGCTTAATAGATTCGTCTCGCGAATTAGTCCAAGTGTTATGGAATGAGTTTTATCATTAGTCTACGTTTAATACTTCTTATTAGTCACACCGGATCAGTCCAATGCTAAAAATATTTTTTCTATACGAGAACCCCTATAAACTGCAGACGGACCGTAACTAGTCGCATCTGTAAAATTCAATCTTTATTTTCACATACGCCTTCTTAAGAGAAGTTCATGTAAAAATCTATCATGCAGTCTTCTTAATGCAAACATGCAAAAATACCCTCTCTTCTTCACATATTTTTTTCTCCCCTCCACACTCTCTTCTCTCTCACCACTTCAATTTTTTCAACTCCTCTCCCATCTCTCTCTTCCTCTGCTCTCCTGATTATTCTCTCCTCTTTATCTCTCTCCCTCTTCAAGTATAGGAGTGGACGCCGCTGTTGAAGAGGAGGTAGTGGGGAGCGGGCAGAGACGGGTGGTGCAGGGAACGGCTGCAGTGATGACGATGGCGGCAGATCCCGCTGGATCTGCCACCCTCGAGAGCGTCTACAACTGTGGCAACGACATGCAGCAACGACGGGCGGCGAAGCCGGTGGATCCGACGGTGCTACTCTCGAGAGTGCCGAATCCGCTGCCCTAGGGAGCGGTTGCGACAGCGGGGCTAGGGTTTTAGATTTTTTGGATTTTTATTTTTTTTCACCAAATTTATTTTCACATATGGTTGGTATAGGTGACCGCATGCGGTTGTGCTGGCCGCTTACTAAAATCTTATTTTAGTAAACATTTGAGCGTATGCGGGCCATCCGTTCGTTTGAAAAAAAATATTTTTGACCGTTTGGAAAAGTTAGTTCTACGGTAGTGGTCGCCCCAGCCTCCTCATAGCCAGATCTAATGGCCCGGGCATCTTTGTCGCTTACGGCGATCCCAAAAAGTGGCACCCACCGAGCCTACGGAGAGGATGTGACCGAGGAGGTAGCACTTGTCTAGTTGTCTCTCGTGCCTCCGTGAGCTCCCTACCATCAGCATTTGCCCCGGGAGGGGGAGGGAGATTAATAGAGAGAGATGGCGATAAGAGTGATAAGTGGATCAGCTAGGAGTACGGCATGGCTCCATTGATCTCACGGTCTAAATGAGGATCCGGCCTAGCATCGCTATTAGTTCAAAAGAAACATCACGTACTGCTCGTACAACAGAAAAACCTAGCTACTACATCCGTCCTAAAATATAATACCTTTTAGCACTTAGCATTTGTCCCAAAATATAACAACTTTTTCACCAACATTCTCTTCCCGACCAATCACAACCCTCAACCATTCACCTTTCTCACCTACCTCCATTATTCATCCAATCACAACCCTCCACTACTCACTTTTACTTACTTTTTTTAATAATCGTGTCCAACTCTAAAACTTCTTATATTCTGGGACGGGGGAGTACATCGTATTCTTTTTACTGCTGCGTATTCTAGCAAATTATATAGAGGTGCATGCATCGGATAAACTTTGAAACTACTAACAATTGTACTGAACTTTTGAAACATCTACTCCCTCTCTATTTTAAAATATAGTTACTTTTAGCTACGAATCTGAATAAGTTTATATTCAGATTCATAGCTAAAAATTATTATATTTTTAGATGAATGTAGTAGGAGTATTAATTTGTAGTTATGCAAAGCTCTTTCTCTCTCTATATATAGCTAGTTTGAACACAGATGTTAAGAACTAGTAGTACTACTATTATTTATGAATTACGAACAATATCCATATGGCACGTACATACACAGCATAAATGTATGGATGCACTAGCTCCTACTACTACCTATGTCTTTTAATATACGTTGTTGACTTTTTATCAATGTTTGACTATTCGTCTTATTTATTTTTTTTATACAAATATAGAAATATTTAAATCATACTTCAATAACATTGATGATAAATCAAGTCACAATGAAAAAAATACAATTACATAATTTTTTGAATAAGATAAATAGTCAAACGTATTTTAAAAAGTCAATGGTGCCGTACATTAAAAAAACACAGAGGAAGTAATATTGAGTACAGTACATTGACCTAGATATATCGCCTGCATATTAGTTTCGTGCGGCTTAATGATTCAAACAATTAATTGCATTATAATAAATAAGGCTTACTGCGATGAAAAAGTCTAACTTTATTATTTTAACAAATAAGTTAGTCAAATCAAAGTATAAAGAAATTTATTTTAAAATTTACACCTAGTTTGATACGCAGGAATATTTATATTTTAATATACTTTGACATAAATATTTGTTCTACGACTACTTGAAACTTTTTTGGAATATAAGAATATGCCTTTTACATAATTATCTTGACAAATTGGCAAATGCAGTGCGGTTGCTCGGCAAACTTCAAGATGGAACTGTTTTTGATCGTAGAGGTTACGGCGACGATGAACCGTTCGAGTTCGTGGTAGATGAAGGTGCAGTATTGCACAACTAAAGCTTGTGTTTTACTCCATATCTTGCTTTATTTTATTCTACTTTGAACTGAAAACCGCTCAAATTAATCATGCAAAATATCCAGGTCAAGTTATTGATGGCCTGGATGAATCTGTAATGACAATGGAGGAGGGAGAAGTTGCCGAGTTCACTATTCCACCCCAGCACGCATTTGATGCCGTTGGGTCAGATCAGCATCAGTTTGCCTTTGTGCCGCGCAATGCAACCGTCGTCTACAAGATCGAGCTCTTGTCCGTCGTTAATGTACGTTATTATGTTCGTATTACTGGTAATGACGACAAAATTAATTACTCTCTTGTCCCAAATTATAAGGCCTATATTTTTTACACGGTTTTCAATGACTGATTATTAATTTATTTCATTAATTTATTCCATGTCATGTTCTCAACAAATATGAAATTAGTATCATATGAAAGTACTTTAAAATATATGAATATAGTAATATAACATGCATAATATTAATCAAAAGTTAATGAGTTTAATTTTTCTTAAAAAGAAGACACCCTATAATTTAGAGTACTTCCTTCGATTCCATAGTTTGTTCCATAGTTCTTGGCGTTTTAGATATGATTGATGTTAAAATTCTATAACTATAACTATCAATAACTTTAAAACTATTTATTTAAAAGGCATTAGAGCAACATATATAGAATTATCTTATAAAATACTATAGTCAAATATATATTTTGGAGTTTGTGTTATTGTCTAAAACATCAAGAATTGTAAAATGAGAGAGTAAGCATGATATGCATGCTTGGATCATTCTCAATTGGACTACCGTTCTCTCTAAAGTTGCACAACATATTAATACTCTGTATCTAGCCAGGTTTTTCTTTTTCTGTTCAACTACTTCACCATGCCTAGCTATAACATTGGTGACACTTACCAACACCGTATCATTCATTAAGGAGTAGTAAGAAATAAGTGAAATATCTAAGGCTCCAAAGTAATTATTCACGAGTTGCACATACTTGGAGCAAAGTCTTAATGATATTTTTTTTTGAGGGAAAAAGTCTTAATCATATGGCTAAAGGACATGCCAACCATGGGAAAAAAAATACAATCATTAGTTTTAGCTAGCTGCTTCCCGTTCCAAAATAAGTTAATCTAATGAAATATTCAGATTGTTAGTACTAGTAAATATCACATCTTGTATTAGGTTAACTAATCTATGCAGATTTTAGAAATATCACATTATATGTAGAATTTACTTATTTTAATACGGAGGAGACTGACTTGCTCTGTTTTTCAGGAGAAACATCCGTTGTACATTCCGAGCCGTGATGAAATTGTTGAATATGCAAGTAGGAAGGAAGAGGAAGGGGACATATACTTTAACTTGGGTAAACATTTGAGAGCTCACAGGAGATATTTCAAGGCCAGACAAATCATTGAATATTCACGCTTCGGGGTAAGGAGAGGGAAAATTAATTTAATAAAACTGCTGTCCATCCCAACATCAGAAATTGATGCACAGCTGGAAGAAATGTGGATTTCCTGCACTTTTAAAGCGGCTAAGTGCGCAATCCAGCTAGGGTGCTACATGCAAGCATCGTGCTATTACAGCGAGGTAAATTTTATGTAAAGAAAATTTCCCGCGTGTTTTTACTTTGTAGAGTAATCTTTACACACTACTTTAAAAAAGGCTTTAGGTCCCAGTTGCCAACCCCACATATATGCTGAATATATGCTGAATTTAGTAACCGACACCCGGCAAATGGCACCTTTGAGTTCTCTCAGGGTCCCAGTGGTCCCAGAAATGCCAAAAAAAAAAAAGGGGTTGGCTCGATGCATCGTCTTGAATCGAACCGATGCAACGAGCGCATCCACCCCGGTTGCCCCCCCCCCCTCCACCACAAAAAAAAAGCAACCACTCTTTGCCCCAAAAATCAATCACAATAATCATTACAAAATCACATAATAACCATCGCAGGACAAGAACAAAAACATTTAATAACATCACAGAACTTCACTCCCCCGCCGCCGGATCCGCCCTCGGCCACCGCCGCCGTCGCCGGATCCACACGCGGCTGCTGCCAGAGGAAGAAGAGAGGGTGCGGACGGAGCTGCCGAAGGATCCACCCTTAGTCGCCGCCACCGCCACCGCCGCTAGATCTGCCGGAAGAGGGAGGTGAGAGGGGGAGGAGGGAGCCGTTGCCACCGGATCCGCCCGCAGCCGCCGGCATCGCCACCGGATCCACCCCCGCTGCCGCTAAAGCCACAATTGTCGCCGGATCTACCACGGGAGGGAGGCGAGAGGGGGCAGAGGGAGCTGCCGCCGCCGGATCCACCCGTGGTTGCCGCCGATGCTGCCACCATCACTGGATTTACCAGTGGCCGCCGCCGTGGGAGGGAAGCGAGAGGGGGAGGAGGAGGGGTAGAGGGAGAGAAGGAGGGGGCGAGGGAGGCGAGAGTGGGTGGATCGAGGGAGAGGAGGGGCGGGGGAGAGCAAGAGAGAGAGAGAGTGAGAGTGAGACAGATTGGTGGGGGATGGGGGGCGGGGGGAGGTGCCGAGTATGGATAAGGATGGGAGGTGTCGTGCTTGGCTTGGTTTGTTGGTGTCGGTTTTTTTAATAGAACCGGGTGTTTGTTAATTAAAAACCGATATCTATAATATATTACACCTATAGTATAGGTGTCAGTTTTTCTTTAAACCGTTTTTTTTTATTTTCAGCCTATGGAGGTGGGAAAAACACTATAGGTGTTAGTTTTAACTATTCCAGCACCTATAGTGCCAACCTGTATGTGCTTTTCTATAGTAGTGACTACTTGTATTCTCAAAGAAGCCCCACATTAATCCTAGTAGTTAAAAAGAATTAGATATTCAACCTAAACTATTACAAAAGGCTAGAAATTCCTGTATTAATAAAAAAAATAAAAATCTCAAGAGTCATATATGATATCTCTATGGCTGGGATTGGATATTACTACATCCCATATTAAGTATACTTTTAGAGTTGAAAGCACACATTAGTAGTGAAGAAATATGACCTAAATACCCCATATTCAGTGAGAGAGATTGAGAGTGAGAGGTTGTTGAGGGCTAAAATGGGAATACATCTGAATGGAAGTGATTTATTGGACAAACTAGTACTCCATAAATGCACTTAGATTGTCTTGGGAGTGAACTGGGAACTAATCCCTCTGGCATGTAAATCAGAGCGACTCATTAGCTCATTAGCGTATAATTAATTAAGTATTAATATTTTTTTTGAAAAATAGATTAATATGATTTTTTAAAATAACTTTCGTATAGAAAACTTTTACAAAAATGCACCGTTTAATAATTTGGAAAGCGTGTGTGTGAAAAACAGGGGAGTTAAGTTGGGAAAGCTAGCAAAAGAATACAGCTTTGAATCTAAAATGACATATAATATGGGACGATGGGAATACAAAATATATACATATATTGATGCCAGTGGCTTTGAGTACAGATATTCACATGTCATATCATGTGCACAACATTTTAAAATGTCACATAATATGGTCTCTTAGCTTGCACAAAATGCATGCTCGAGCCATCGATCTTTGTGATGTGTATGCAAAATTGCAGAATGATACTCCCTCCGTCCCAAATTATAGAGCGCCCCTTTTAAGTAAAATTAAACTTGATAACTTTTGACAATCACACTAACTATATCTATACTAAGTATTATGCATATTATATCAATTTATATTTTGAAGTACTTTCATGTGATGCTAATTTTATATTTATTGGGATCATAGAATAAAATAAAATACTGATGAAAGTATGTTTATTTAAGACAGTGTAAAAAAAATATAGGCGTTATAATTTAGGACAGAGGGAGTATTTCTTTATGTTGGAAGAGTTAATCAATAGAGCGGAATGATGACTAACCTTGTTGATCTTGTCAGCCATTCATCAACTCAAATATGTCAAATATCATCGATGAAACACACAATATGTGTTACCGAGTTTCAGTCGAAGTCTATATCCTTGTGGTTTTAATTATAAGCATTTATCCCCAATCAACATATCACATCTAGCCATTGTCGGTTCATGACCTTGCCACGGTCCTTCCTTTACGCGCTTGTGCTATATTTTCCTCACCATAGTTACATTATGGAATCACTCTCTATTTAAATAGTTGCCGGGTTATGGAGTCCAATGCTAACTCCGTACAGTATTTTCTATTATAACTCTAAGTCTAATTATAATGCAATAGAACTAGTATATTCGACACCTATTTTAACACTTTGCATGAAAAAAATTAGACTATATACCATCAATATGCAACATGTGAAGTGTGAATTGATGTGTCATAACGTATGAAAAATCTAAAAATAATGTATGTAATAATTTTCTTCTGAAAAATAATTAAGCTTGATAGCAACACTGATTAATTTGAGTAATAAAGCACATGAATCATCATCAAGTTAAGCTAAAACAAATAGAAAGTCCAGATTGGAAGATACTTCAAAACTGTAAAGAGTTATTTCCATATATAATAAGTATTCAGACTCACTAACAACATTAAATTCTAAATATGAAATTATAATTTAATACTAATTATGAGACATTTAGTTAATTATACTCTGTTATTTAGAAAATTAGATTGAAACATAATAGATAAAATAAAAATAAAATTCCATATTCTATAGCCCATGGGATGCATGCATGCATGGATAATGACTAGCTTTAACAATATGGAGCAATGCATGTTTTTGTATTGGGCTTTCCAAACATTTTACTTGTGTGCAATGTATAGTTTTATTCGATATGCATGCCTCATGAGCTTTTACCAACTAAAAACTTGAGAATTATAATGAATTGTTATGTGATTTGGTATGTACATATTTACCAAATCAGTTAATCTAGCTGTCTAGCTGGTGTAACTCGAATTTAAAGTTAATTTTATCCCGGACACTACTCCAAACACTTGCAATTAGCGTCTATGCCAAAATATTTGTTGTTGTCATAGTTCAAAGCACTTTTAAATTAAATTTTGAGAAAATTCATTCTATCCCCTGAAACCTTCTATGCCCCTAAATTTTACTCAATCCCTTTATACCCTTGACTTTTAGTTTTGATCCTCTCTATACATTTTCCATTAGTTGACTGCTAGTTGACCATTTAATTGATTTTAGAAAGACAATTTTACCCTTGGACATGTAAAGAATATAGAAATTTATAAACTATATCACTGAGAATACATTGATTTTTTGTACAACTATAATATTTATAACTTTATTGTACAAGTAAGTATTATACATAGAAAATTTAACATTTGTATTAAAAAATGTATGTACAACATTTCTTAAAAAATGGGAGAAAAATATTTAATCTTGTAGAACACTTCTTTTGGATAATATATACATCAGGCGGCAAACCTATTGTACTACTATCACAAAATTATACTACATATACTATTTTTATAAATAAAATACACATTTTTTATCGTAAATAAAATTTTTTGTCACGAATAATATATCACATAACAAACTCATAGATACAATAGTCTCACATAACAAACTTTACACACCAACAATATACTCGATAGTTTCGATGTTTCTGGGCAAAATGGACCTTTCAGAGAAAATAAATGGTCAACATATGAAAACAGTATATAAGGAAAGGGTTTGTAAGGGATCAAATTCAAAATTGAAAGGTATGCAAGGGAGTGTGTAAATCTCAACTCTCAAGGGTATACAAGGGATAGGATGAACTTTTATGGGTATACGAGGGAATTTCTTAGTAAAATTTGTGCCAAAATATTTGTCATTATCACATTTAGAGATCGATCTCTTCATACTAGTATTACTGGTACTCTCACAAAGAAATTTAATATTTTCTTTGGAAAATATGATTAGCATATAATTAGTGAAGGTGCAATATGTAAATTGCCGCACCTACAAATTTAGGGTATGGTTTGCTAGAAAACAAAAGAAAATCAAAACCGGGCGGAGTATTTACTATTAGAAAAGGGAAAAAATTATTCCATGCATGTGTCAGGTGGTGTTTGGATCTAGCATCGGATGTTTGGACGCTAATTCGGAGTATTAAATATAGACTAATTATAAAACTAATTGCATAAATAAGAGCTAATTGGTGAGATAAATTTTTTAAGCCTAATTAATCTATAATTAACACATGTTTATTGAAAGATCACATAGGCTAATCATGGATTAATTAGGCTCAATAGATTCATCTCGCGAATTAGTCCAGAGTTATGGAATAGGTTTTGCCATTAGTCTACGTTTAATACTTCTAATTAATATCCCAACATTCGATGTGACAATGACTAAATTCTAGTTCCTGTATCCAAATTAACATGCCCTCAATGTTTTTAAAACGACAAGTTATAGTCTATATATGACTTGTTTAACTTTTTCCTTGGTTACGTAAATATTTAATTCAACATAAATATATATCGCGCGATCAGGTACCTGCGGTACAAATACTAACAAAGTAACAATACAGGTGCTGAACTACGATGTGGCTAATGTGCAAGCCCAGCAGCAGCAAACGTTGTTGCAGGAATTTCCTGATGGTTCCTCAAGAGACCCGGACGCAATGCAGCGAGGCTTTGAGGTAGTACTGTACTATCTACTCTCTGTGCAAATCAGTTTCAATAGTGATTAATTTGGTGATTTTTATGATAATGGATGCATAATATTTTCTCTGCATTGATTATAGATGCACGTAATTATTACAATACTGTCTGCTAAAGTAAGTTGAAATTCAAAAGAAAACCAAAATCTAAAAAAAAAATGTTCACTAACATATTGCCATGGAATGTATGGCTAGCTGAAAGGCTAAACTAAATGACAAACATCTTTATATGCATGGAATGCCTCTAAATAAACCAAAAGACATTATAATCTATCCACTACCAGGTCCAATTGCGAAATGGCACGTAGACTAGTGGCTGCAGTGACCTGACTAGCATCCCAAGTTCCTTAATTCAAATCTTCATAGAAGCAAATACCAGATTAGGTTATTTGAGGGGCTAAGTTCCTAATTTAAAAAGGTTGCATACATCCAAATACCTTTCTCTCTAAAAAGAAATACCGGGTTCAATCATATATACTTCCTCTGTTTCAAATTAGTTGTCACTGTAGGTTTGTTCTAAGTGAAACATATCTACCTTTGATCATTAATTTTTTGAAATTCGTAAAGTTTTACAACATTTAAACTATATATTATGAAGTATTTCTCATGGTGGATCTAAAACTATAAATCTTATAATGTTAATTATAAAACTAATAATCAACGATTAATTTTTTTTACTTAAGATAAACCTAGGACGGCAATAAATATGAAACGAAGAAAAAGGCCAACATTCTTCTAATTTACTCTCTCCGTCCAAGTCCAGAAACAGAAATAGATTGATAGCAATTTCAAGACAAGTTAGTATGGAGGCAAAATTTCCACCATTATATATTTTTGGGTGCATATAGAATATATATGTTTATTTAGAGACTGTAACCTTACAACACTTGAGACAATAAATACTCTAACCATTAACCTATAACAATAATTTTGTATTACTATTTTTTTTCTCACCTGTGTGCAGCAAAGTTCTTGTTGTTAATTAACTGTAACAATGATATTTATCTCTTCTCTCTTCTATGTCAACAAGCATTGGTTTTAGAGCAAGTTTAATAATATAGCCAACTACTAGCTCTAAAAATTAAAACATCATCTATAACTAATATAATAGCCACTTATATAATAGTTAGTTGTAAATATATAATGCATCATTAATACTTAATACACCCATCTCTCCCATAGTTTATTAAAGTTCGTGGTGTGGCTACAAATCTGTAGCCATTTTTTCTCTCTTTTCGACATAAGTATAAATATGATGTAGCAATTTGTGCAACACGCTTATGTCATATATTATTGTAAATTCGCTCTTAGTAAGGCCAAGAGCCCACAACTAATGACAGCTGCAAATAACCAGAAGTATTGTAAAACTTATTTAATACTTTTATTTAGGGTAGGTAATTAAGCAGGATTGCTATCTACGTCAGCTGCACCCGCCTCCTAGTGCACTTTATTTTTTTTCTGATTTTTTTTTCTGATTTTTCTGTTACGCGTCTATTCCACACGGAAAAGAGTTTCCTTATTTTTTTTTCTTTTCTTTTCCGGAAACTATCACGTGTGTTTCTTGTTCTTTTTCTTTTTTTTCGACTGAAACAAACTTGTAACTAAGATTGAAATCTTTTCAACTTATATTCGAAAATTTTCAATTCCAGATTTAAAAGTTTGAACTTATATTTAAAATATTTCAATATAGATTTGAAAATTTTCAAGTCAATATTGAAATCTTTCAACTTGGATTTGAAAACTTTTAAGTCAAGATTGAAATCTTTCACCTTAGATTTGAAAATTTTTAAGTCAAAATTGAAAACTTTGAACCAAGATTTAAAAACTTTCAACTCAGATTTGAAAACTTCCAAGTCCGAATTTGAAACTTTAAACTTCGATTTGAAAACTTTCAGCTTAGATTTAAAAATTTTTAAATCAAGATTTAAAACTTTCAAGTCGGCTTTGAAAACTTTAAACTGAAGATTTGAAACTTTTAAGTCAAAATTCAAAATATTCAATTTAAATTTAAAAACTTTCACCTCAAAATTCAAAACATTCAACTTAAATTTTAAAAACTTTCAACTCAAATTCAAAACTTTCAACTAAAATTAGAAGTGAAAAATTGAATTTATAAAATATAGTAGAAAAAAATCACGCGAGCACGCGAAGAAAATAAGGGAGTGATTAAAACATAAAAGAGCGAAAACCGGAAAAAAAAAGAAGCGAAAAAAAGGAAACTACCGGGGCTAGCGCGTGCATGGGTCTTGGCGGCGTCGTACCGGGGCTAGCGCGTGTGTGGTCCTTGGCGGCATCTGTGCCGGCAACGCCGTACGCGTTAATTAGCTGCGCCCATAATTAAGAGGCTGCAGTAAACTATTTTCAGACAAATTTTAAATACTACGAATCATTTTTTTTAAGGAGAAGGAGCATCTACGAGCGATAGGGCTCTAGACATGTCTGCTATACGCCTATACCTACTATAACTAGACGTATTCGACCTCCCAATTGGGAAAAACAACGAGACACAATTTACAAAATTTGAAATCCTACATGCATATCTTATAGTCTTATAGTACTTAAGCTTGAAACTAAGAGAGAAAACTATCTGGTCACTACGTAATTTTACTCATATGTTACCGTCATCATCCTCTGCAGCAATTCCCACCAGAGTACGAGTCAGAATTGCAGCTCAATGCAACTTTCACTCCTGCAGCTTTTTCACCGAGACGGAAAGGTGAGCATCCGTATCGTGGCGAAATTATTGGCTTCCCTGATGTTCAGGCAAACAGCAGCCAGCCTGCTTCTACTCCTAGTACTGCTCCCAGTACTCCCAACCCTGCTACACCACAGACGAACGCCCTCGCTACTGGCACTAGTGGCACCCCGAGCGGCAGCGCTGCTCAAAGCTCAGGAACAATCAACACGAACCGCGGGTTTCTATTCAGATGCTTCGGGCCATCGCCCACGAGCTGAAGGATCCATCAAGCTTATATCGTCTCAATCGTTGTCGCCGCCGCAGCTAATTACTACTTAGTAATATCATATCATACTTGGAATTGCAGTATGCTGGTAATGTCTACATTTTCAAATGGATCCACATTAAATAAAAGTTGTGATTGATTTTGTACTGCCACAATTAGTCCCTGGTCAGGAAAAAAGCTTGTGGCTTACTAACAGGCGGCCAAGCTAAGCAACAAGCATATCGAAGGTGGGAGACGAACTGTAGTTCTCATCCGATATAATTCAGAAAATGCTAAAAGCAGAGAACGCGTGAGAGAAAATCAGAGTCGCGTGAAACTAAGTTTTTGCTGTTCTCAACTGGCGCAGTTTTTCTCTTCCTATTATTCACTAAATAACCAACAACTAATCCTCCAAATGATCTGGCCGTGCTATGCATCCCAAGTGCACGGAACTCGCGCGGTGCCGCAGGCTATATATAGGATCTAACATAAAAACCAAACAACAAAAACTTTTCCAAAATAAAAGAACCTCAAAAGTCAAAACTTGACGGATTACAGCACAAACAACCTCTAAAAGATTCTTTTTATGTGCTGTAGAGACGACTATACCCGTCTCAAATAGTGGTAAAGACGGTTTTAGCAACCGTCTCGTAGGCGTTGCCACAGCTCCCATCTCAAATGATTAGAGACAGATTAAAAAGTCATCTGTACAATTAGAGATGGTTGGTAGATACGGTTAGAATCGTTGCTACACATTCAACTTGAAATTCAAATCAATTTCTCGACACACGTAAAATTGTCTCTAATTTAAATTATAAGCATGTTAAATTTGAAATTTAAATTTTTAGATAAAAATATGTAGAGACGCTTGTTGTGCTAATTACGATTTGCTTCCGTCTCTACCATGTACTAGACGTGGTTTATGGTTTGACTAGAAGTGGTTATAGCCGTCTCTATTCATGATTAATATATTACTTATTTCTTTTCTAGAGACGGTTTCTACTTTTATAGTGATGGCTACTATACACCTGTCTCTACACTACATCAAATTTATATATAATACCATCTCTAGCACTATTGGTTATATCGAAGGGTGAACTCCTCGAGCGTGGAACTGTGAGGCCCCCCTTTGTTAGTTCGGCCGGAGGCAGCGGGTGAAAGTTGAGGAGTTGGAAGGATGGAAGTATAGGGGGTTGGGGCTCTCGATGAAGAAGGCAAGGGTGGTTTACACAGGTTCGCCCTGCTTAGAAGTGTATTACCCTACTCCTATGCTATGCTGATTGAGAAGGAGAGATTACAATATCTCCTTGCTGGCCCGCCCACCCAACTCGTACGCGTAGGCTGATGTGCGAAGGGGGTCGGGATGGGACCGAACCCCAAGGGAGGAGGGGGCAACCGCAACTCCACCCCGGGCCTGACCCTCCTCGGGAAAGTGCCACGTGGGTCTGGGCGCAGCCTCCTCCCTCCAAACTCGGTACCCCAAGCTAGGAGGGGGCAGCCGCCGCTCCACCCCGGGCGCCACCCCCCTCGGGGGACGCCACGTGGGTTCGGGGGCGGCCTCCTCCCTCTAAATGTACATGATACCCCCGAGCCCATATCACCGATACTTACACACTAACAATTAATAATACAACTTTATTTAGAAAATTCATAAAACAATATCACCAGATTGGATTACCATGAGATCAGACCAAGAAGACTTTTAGCACCAGTACTTCGCATTAATGCAAACAAGTAATATCCATACATTGTGTCCAATGAAAATGTTTAAACATTCTTTCTGATAACACTGAAATAGTAGGTTCTTAAGAAGTTAACTAAAAACAATCCTAATGCAGCAAGTAGTATGGAATGATGTAGTTGCCATTGTAAATTTGTTACTTCACTCTTCTTCAGTTGAAGGCTGAGAAGATGCTCTGGCACTTGAAGATGGAGCAGTATTTTGGTTTTGATTAACCTGAAAATGTATCCATGAAAATATATTATTTTGCAAGCTTAAGCATATGCCCATATAAGTTGCTACATTTAAAAATAGTAATTAATCTTATGCCCATACCTCTTGGAATGAGCCTAGCAAGGGAGGGTGGCAGGCATCCTAGCCAACAAATTATCCTCTGGGTATTTCTCTGCTACAGAAGCAAAGTATCCATGCTTTGCAACGGTCAAAAGAGAATGGTTCCTTTGAAGCATCCTAGTCATGTTGTGCACACTCAGGACCCCTTTGAATCAAAAGAATTATGTAGGAGTTTCGTAGCATTGAAATCCTATAGGAAATTTTTCTATGTAGCTCTTTGATTCAAAATATTGAAGTTTTCCAAATCCTACAAAATTCCTATGGAATGGCTTGTTGCATATAGGTTTTGGAGGAAACTTAGCAAGAGGTCCAACCTCTTGGTAAAAATCCTTTGAGTCTATCTCTCTCATCCAATTCCTATGTTTTTCCTATGGTCCAATCAAACGATCGTTCCTTTGTTTTTCCTGTGTTTTGCAATCCTCTGTTTTACACTTATATTCCTGTCAGAATCCTATGTTTTTTCTATTCCTCCGTTTTTCCATTCCTATGATTCAAAGGGACCCTCATCCTTTGAAGCATCACAGATTGACTCTCTCCAACTGTAACGTCCCGCCTTCCCCTAGGCCGGGCCCGCTTACATCTAGCAACTTTTATAGGTCATAGACTGCCCTCACAGACCAACACATGTCTTTTCTACACACTTTGTCCTCACTCGTGCGCACACGGGAAGAATTTCCCGGTCGGTCACTCATCCCTAAATTGCTCCAGGCCAAGCACGCTTAACCTCAGAGTTCTTTAGAGATCGGCTAAAGAAATCCAGGGTTAAGCTGATCTCAAAAGAAATCAAGGGTTAAGCGTGCTTGGCCTGGAGCAATTTGGGATGGGTGACTCACCGGGAAATTCTTCCCAGGTGCACACGAGTGAGGATAAAGTGTGCAGAAAAGATTTGTGTTGGTCTGTGAGGTCAGTCTATGACCTATGAAAGCTATCAGATGTAAGCGGGCCTGGCCTGGGAGAGGCGGGACGTTACACCAACCCTTAAACAATATAGATTAATTTTGTTTTGACCCATACCTTCCTGTTATTGGTACGAACTATCCATTGCTTTAGTTAGTTATTGGGAGGAGGATGATCACTATAAAATTCTTTTGCAGATAACCTTTTTATTTTTATAAAGGAAAAAGTACGAATTACCCCCCTGAAGTATCCTGGTCAGCCGAATTTCCCCCCCCCCCCCGAACCCGGAAACCAGACATAACTCACCCTGAACTTTCAATACCGGACGAATTACCCCCCCCCGACCCAATCAAGAGCGGTTTTATCCTACGTGGCGTACGCGTGGCAACCCAGTCAGCATTTTCTTTTTTTAAAACATGCTGGGGCCCACCTGTCATATACTCTCTCTTCTCTTCCCCTTCTCGCTCTCTCTCTCCCTCTCTCGGCGAGGACGCAGCGCGGCGGCTACAGCGTCGTCGTCGTCGTCGCGCTGGACATGGAGGCCGCGGCGGCGGCGGTGGCGTGGGAAGAGCCAGCGGCGGCGAGGGACGCGGAGGCCGCGGCGGTGCTGGACACGGAGGATGCGTCGACGGCGGCCCCTCCATGTGCCCCCCGCGAGATGGTCGTAGCCTGCGTCCACGGCGGCTCCCCGTGTGCCCGCCCGCCTGCACGACCACGGCACTAGCAGCCGCGCCACCATACCGTGGAGCGCTAGCCAGAGAGAACGAAGAAAACGACCAGAAGTAGAAGAAAGAAGAAAAAGAGGAAAAAAATGAAAGAACCAATGAGCAGCAGCACAAGCCGTCATTTTGGTCCGCTGCATAGACATGACCGCTGTGCATGCCGTCCGGCTGCCGCACCGCATGCCGTCCTGGCTGCGTCTCGCCGTCGCTCAACCACGCCTCGCCGATGCACGGCCGTGCCAAGCGCCATCCGGCGGCACCACCACCGTCAAGCCGGGGGAGGAAAGGAACAAGAACCAGAAAAAGAATATGAAATAAAAAGGGGAAAAGCGGGGAGGCAGTCAGTGCCCGTCGCCATGCGTCCGCGCCTAGCGCCACAGGAGCCCCGCCATCTGCCGCGTCGACCGACACAAGGTCGTCCGTCGCCAGCCACCGCACCATCCGCCGCGCATCGCCACCGCCGACTGCACCGACGCCCGGCCGCGCCACGCGACGCTCGCCTTCCACCGCCGCACGGCCGAGCGACGCCCTTCCGCACTAGGATCGCGCCCGCGCCGTCTTCCCGCGTCCCCTCACGACCACCCGCTGCCGCTTGACCTGCGTCGTGTGCCGCCGCAGTGGGCCGCGCGCCGCCGCCCACCACCCGCCCCAGCACGCCGCCGTGCGCGCCGACGGACCGCCGCCGTGTGCGTCGAGAGAGAGGAAGTGGGGAAAAGGGGAAAGTGGAGATGAGAGAGTATATGACAGGTGGGCCCTACCATTAAAAAAAAGAAAATGCTGACTGGATTGCCACGCGTACGCCACGTAGGCCAAAACAGCTCTGGATTGAATCGAGGGGGGTAATTCGTCTGGTATTAAAAGTTTAGGGTGAATAATGTCTGGTTTTTGGGTTTAGGGGGTAATTCGGCCGACTGCGATAGTTTAGGAGGGGTAATTCGTACTTTTTCCTTTTATAAACGGGCTTAAAAAGGGAACCCACCTAAGAAAATTCACTGGGATGTTCGGTCAAGGCTCACTTGTAAACATTCACTTTGGTTTTCACCTGAGATCCCACACCGGCTGCACTCCCCCACTCCTCTCAAGAGGGCATGAACAATGGAAGTATCACCAACCAAATGGTTTCGTAAAAAAATGGTTCCACCCGGGATGAAGCTGTTTGTACCACAATTTGGCTTATAGTTAGTGTATTTGTGCATGCCAGATTGTTTTAGAATAGATGATACAACTGTCAAATGATTTACTTAGAAAATCTACTCAGTTTGCAGTGTGGGAATTTGTGATGCACTCGATGATTGTCTGTAAGCTAGAGGGTGATTTTATCATTTGATCATGTGAGGAGTGAGTAGCTCTGTACTTGTAATCTTGGACCGTGAGGATGCATTGGTGCAGTCAAGGTTTGCTGATGATTTAAAAGAAGGAGCAGGAGATGCACAGAAGGACTTCACGTTGCTGATTAAGGAGAATTTGGATGTGATCGGTTTGTGCGTCTACATGTGCTGGTCAGTCGCGTAAGGGTGCGTGAAACATGGCGATTTGCGGTTGTTCTGCGGCTGATTAATTAGCGCGTGCAGTGCTGATCTTATTAGTTAGTTTCTATCCGGTTAAGATTTGCTTTATTTTGTGTGGGACCAGGTATAATTAGACTTGCCAAACTATTGTTTATTTTTGCTGGTATATATACCAGTGCCGGCCGATGAGGAAGACCCCGAACAATTTCAATCTACTATTCATCTATTTTACTTTTTAGTTCTTTTCTATTTTGTTTTCACTGAGTTCTAGCCGCCCTACAATTTGGTTAATCTTTACCGTTTTGCGCTGAAAAAGGTCATGCTTCTCCACAAAAGCGAGGAGGTTATCCTTTACTTGTTTGCTCGGAAACTAGTCGTTCGTCGTCACGTAAGTACGATATTTATCTTCTTTGCTAATTTGCTTGTAAATTAGTCGTTTGATTCCGTGAAAGTGAATTAATCTTGAAATCGGTTCCGCTAGCCAGTTTTGATCAGTCGATTTTGACGACTCTCACTATAAGAATCTATTTAATCTATGACGAAAAAAATTCGTCATGGATCACTAAAAATTCATCACAGGAATTTGTCTGTGACGATTATACTTATTGTCATCTATTGAGCGTCATAGATTAAATCTGCCGACGTTTTCTCCGAAATAGTCACGGATCAGCACAATCTATGACGTTTTTTAACCGTCATAAAACGTTTATGGGCTCGTGTAGTCCAGCCCAGGCCCAACCTTTGTGACGAAATTAAACGTCACAGATGGTTTCCACGTAGCGGCCAACATGGCATGTGACGTGGCCGTTTTGACATGTGTGCGGTGACGTGGCAACTGACGTCAGCAATTTTTTTAATACGGCCCATTATTTTTTTGACGGCCCATTAATTTTAAAACGGAGGCCCATTAATTTTTTTTAAACTGGCCCATTTTAAAATTGGCCCATTTCAGAACACTAGGCCCATTTTATCAACGAAGTATCAAATCAAAGCCCACTAAACAAGCCCATTAAATTTGAGCCCACCAAATTCAATCCAATTTCTCATACCATTTCAGATTCAAACCTAATTACATGTACCATCTCAGATTCAACTAATAACAGATACAATCAGAATACAACAGAATTCAAACAATATTTCATCTCAGATTCAACCTAATAACAGGAAATCTGAAAACAGAAAACAAAACAAATCTTTCAAACATTGAATGGAATCACTCCTTGCTTCTCGTCCTCCACTCATAGCAAATAGAGGATTGAATTACAGCAAGGCCTTCTTGTTGATGTGCAAATGGAATTTTTCGCTACAACTTATACATAGCTTCTTGAGATGTGCTGCAAAAATACAATTTTAGTGTCAAAACTGGGAGTCAACAACATTAAGTCACTAAACTACTCAACAATATTAGTCCTCCCTCCTAATTTTCTTTTTCTAAATGTGAATAAATATAGGTTAATGGAGTTATTTTTGTGGCATATGTTTAGGGCATCCTCTACACAGAATTAGCAGGACAACAGAAGGCATTAAACTATAGAATAATGGTATGAATAAAGTAATAAGCACCTCAATATATCTGTCCATAAGAAATAAAAGGACAGGTACCAACCAAAAACAGGCAGGCCATCACCTAAGTTTAAATCATACAGTAAAATTCCCTCCATAAACTAAGATCCACAAACATAAGTTATTTATACAAATGACTACAAATATTTCATCTCAAACTCGAAAAAGAAAAATGCAGTCTTGAGCTCAAACCAGCAATACCATCAGAAACATCAAATGCAATCTAGTTATCCATCGCCCGCTAGGCTACATACTACCTATTCACTTCTCTTTCAGCAAGGCATAAATAAATGATGTGGAAATGAGACGACGTTACAAATATATTTCGACCGATTATGGTTCAGTCACCATATAGGAATTACAGATTCAGCGGGAGAAAAAATGATTCGAGGGCCAACCATGCTTAAAATTTAGCGCTAATTAGGAAGAGTTATTATTCATTGCATGGAGATAAATAAATATGGCCACAAAAACTCCATGGTGCTTCAATAGTGCTACAGAAATGCATCAAAAGGGAACTTTCATACCTTATCACAGATTTCCCAATTACCCTCATATCAAGTTATCAACCATATAGAGCCAGTGATCTTCAAATTTATATCAACCATATACAGCCATTGATCTGCAAATTGCAAACTTCCACACATCCAGAGAACCAACCTGGAATAACAATCTGCCTATCTTCATTGAGATTTGAGATATTGATCATGTAGGAAGCACTGTATCTGAATAGAAATAGCCAGGCTCAGTTCCACTAAGTGCAGGCAAAAGTAACAAAAGTAGCTAGGCTAGTTATTGTTAAAGAGTTCAATTCTGCTGGCAAATTAGAAATCAAATTGTATTATCAATACAAATAATTGTACAAAATATGCTTTGTATTGTCAGGTCTACTAGCAAGAGATATCTTTTAAACAAAATTTTGAGAACTGCAAGAGTAAAGTAGCCCAAATTTCATATGAGATATGCAATAAAGCATATATCTTGTGCAGACAAGTGGCACTTATGATGAATTGGAACTAAAAATAAGCATATTAACTCTAGAGGATCCAAAATTATCCTTCTGTAATTACATTCGACGAAATAATAATGCTCCTGGATGCTCAAGCTTTGTGATTTGCTCATTTGTTTAGCTTATATTATCATGGTTGAGGAGTATTCATGTACATATTTATTCCCTTAGTGGCATATATGCATTATATATCAGAGGCGTCAACACCCACACAGTATGCAATGCACCACATCACAAATGCAATCAATCGTATAAATACAGAGGAAGCAGGCAGCAACAGTCAGGAGATTACTTCACATGTAAAGACACTAAATGTTTCAGGCATTTTTTCCAAAAAAAAATGTTTCAAGCAGTTTTTACATTCTAGTATATACAGAGGAGATGTACCTACACTGGAAAAAAAATGAAGATTGGCAGGATGAAGGGATCCGGCGAATCGCCATCTTCCTCGGCGAATCAACTCACTGCTCACCGTTGCAAGCGAAGCAACAACTCCACATGAGATTGGAGAAATAGGGAAATAACAAGCAGGGTCTAGATGGCTTTGCTGACCTGAGATATATGGAGGGCATCGGAAGCAGTTGAAGAACAGGCGGTGGGTCGACCCTCGCCGTAAAGCCACATCGCCGTCGGCCTCCTCGAGGCGACGAGCCCCAATCCACCCTCCCCCCCTCCACCACCACCACTTAAGAAGGTCGGTGGCAGGATCCGACGGCGAGATCTGCACGGGAACATGGAAGATGATGATGAATAACAGGGAGAACGAGGAGAAGGCGGACGAGGCGGCTCACCTCCGTCGGCGACGGGATCCAGTGGCGAGATCCGGTGGTGAGGGAGTGACCCGGTGGTGAGGGGGCAGAGGCGACGGAGGTGTGGGGGATAGGGAGGGCGACGCCGTCGAGCTGCTATCGCCGCCGCGCCGCCTGGAGCTCGCCGGCCGCTCCGTGGTCGTCCCGTACCACCAGATCCGCGTCGCCGGCCTGGGGAGGAGAGCCGCCGGTTGTCGGAGCAGAGGAGGGGTGATACCCATCATGGGAGAGTGACGGAGATGAGGGTGGTGGTGGGGTTACCGCCTAGCTGTGGAGATTATGGATACCCATATCTACATGGCAGTTATAATTAGACTGGATATAGGATACCGAATATAGATAGAATATCTTTATAGTAACTCGGTTTGTTTCTTAACTTGTACGTCAAGAAAGTACCCGGAGACTTAGTCGGTTACGATTGTATTTTATCTATATTTTCATATTCCGTTAGGGATATGTGCTGTATCTTGTAATACAGATCCCTTCTGCTGTATAAGGAGGGGTCCGGGTCCTTTTTGGGACAGGACTTTCCCGAAGATCATACAATCAATAACATACTCGGCGGATTCATCCCCGGACAGGAGTAGTGTCACGCCCAGAAATTTAGCCCAAATTTCCAGACTATTTTGTGTATTAAATCCCTGTCCAGGACCAGCCAGGGTACACAAAACGACAAGTAATATACAGTTCCAAACGTAAATAAAGCGTAAAATACTTACAAAAGAGGCACTTAGTCCTCGCACCGAAACGAAAACAGCAGCAGCGGAAAAAGGCGATCCTAGCGGGGCTTCAGCTCCACTCCACAGGCAAAACTCAACTGGGGTCTGAGCCTTGGTCCTCTAACTTCGTCTTCAGCTCAGAAGCACTACACTTCTGAAAAGGGGGAATAATAGCAAGGCTGAGTACAACCACCGTACTCAGCAAGCCACACCAACGATGCAGACGTGCAAGGGGAACACAAGGACAGTTTGTGGCTACTTGCATAAAGGCGGTTGTAAAACATTTTATTGAGCAAAGCGGTAAAACAGTTGAGTAATTAAAGTAATATTGAATCTCCACTGATCAACGCTACACCACGTTGAACAGGCCCAACCAACCCACCTAAACTACAGTGTATTGGGTCGATTTATTAAGTGTGAGACTAATCACGGTGAATCTGGTCGACCGCCCATAACCGCGGGCACGGCTATTCGAATAGTTTTACTCTGATCAGAGGTGTACAACTGTACCCACAAGACACAGCCCCACGACACGTTCCCGTGCGCCGACATGCCACCACGACATACCGGAAAGAGGCTGTGACAGGACCCTTCGCATAACCCCCTCTAGCCAAGCACACCACACCTCAGGTTTCACCCCCGTTCCCAGCGGGCAACGGGCAGTCCCCTCTCGTGCCTAGGTGAATCCGGAAGCGACAGAGGCCGTCGCAGGGCCCGCCCCGCTCCATCACGCCCACCCTTGCCTGGATGCGTCGACTAGAGGAAAGATACACTACAAGTCCAGCCGTTGCCCACGCTGGCTTGTGGTAAGTACGATAAGTTCTTCCAGGGCATCCCGCGAACCGGTCCTTAACTGCCATGGGTGCGACCAGCAAAACCATGCACCCACAGCCCACCATTCAGTCGCATTTTAGTTGGATAATTACGACCATGAAGCATGGCCAGGTGTCTCGAGCACGCAGCTCACTCTGATACTAAAAAGGTCTAATATTGTAATTATCCCATCAACTGAGCTAGTGATAATTAAGCATGGCTAAGCATACAGTTCTAGCTAAGTCACATAAGTAACATGAGCTAGTCGATTTATTACCCAATGTTGACAAAGGATAGATATCAAGTAAACATGGCACAAGCGAGCAGATAGGTAAACCCTGATCCCGTGTAATTAGCAAAACATGCATATTTATTTTTAAACGGTAAAACATTTATAAATTGGGATCAACATGCTCAAGGAGAATGTGTGACTTGCCTTGCTTCTTCACTTTGATCTTCCGAACTCTTTTCCTCGCGACCGCGGACTTCCGAAACGACGGAAACTACACGCTGGCACGCAAAACGAGGAAAAACTCTAATAAAGACCAAGCAAACAGTACATAAAAAGTAAACAAACATGTAGAGCTCAATTTTAGATGAATTTTGCAAGTTGAATGGCTCAATTCGGAGTTCGAATGAATTAGATATGAATTTTAGAAGTTTTGAGCCATTCGAATGAATTTCTAGAATTAAACTCGATTTATTGCGCAATTATTATTTATTTTCTCAAAGGAAAAGGCCGTGCTGACGTCAGCAAGGGGCAGCCGGCGCCGACACGCGGGCCCCACACGTCAGCGGCACTAAGAAAGGGAGAGGGGCGGCTGGCAAGCGGGCCCCACTGGCAGCGGCTCTATAGGGGAAAGGAGAGGGAGGGGTGGTCCACCGGCTGGTGGGCCCCACCGGGCAGTGGCTCAAGGGGAGGCGAGGGAGGCGCCGGCCGGGCTCGGCTCGGCCTCAAAGCCGACCGGCGGCCATGGCGACCGGCGGCGGCACGCGCGGTCACCGGCGGTGACCGGCAGCGCGGGAGACGGCGGCGGCCGGCGCGAAGGCGGCGGCGGCGGCCGAAGACGACGGCGCACGCGCGGAGGACGGCGGTGCTCATGGGAGAGAGAGGAAAGGAAGGAGGAGAGGGGATTCCTCACCGGCGAACACGGCGGCCGGCGCGAAGGGAGAAAACGGCGGCGACGACCGGTGATGCCGAGGCGCGAACGGGCGGCGGCGGCACCCTAGGAGAGAGCATAGAGGGGTTAGGGAAGGGAAGGCGACCATGGCGGCTTGAATTGCCGGCCGGAGACGGAGGGGAGAGAGGGTCTCACCGGCGCGCGAGGAGAAAAAAGGCTCCGGCGGTGATTCGCGGCAATGAAGCGGCGGCCGAGGTGCGGGCGGGCTCGGTGAGCGCGACGGCGGCGATGGTGCGGCGCGGCGGCGGCTCTAGCGGCGGCGGCTCGCGGCTGACTGAAGGCGGTGTGTGGCGGTAGTGGCTCGGCCTCGCGATGGGAAGGTGGTTCCGGCGGTGGAGGAGGGAGATGGAGTGGGGGCCGGGGTAGAGCAAGGCGTGGCGATGCTAGCGGCGGCGGCGGCTCGACGCGGCGGTGGCTAGGGCGGAGAGGAGCGACGGCCGGAGCTCGCCGGAAAGCGGCGGCGCCCGGGCTCGCGGTGCGGGCGCGATTTGTGGCACGGGAGAGCTCAGGGAAATTGGGGAAAAGAGAGAAGGGAGCCCGTGGATGCTTTTTATAGACCGAGGGAGCGACGGCGAAGCCGGGGAGCGGCGGATTTCGAGGGGAAGTGGGGCGGCGTCGTGGGGGAGAGAGAGACGCGGGAGGCGGCGACGTGGCCGGATTTTGCGGGGAGAGTGGGGGAACGGCGCGGACGAGAGCGGCGAGGTCCCACGGACGAGCGCGCGCGCGGGGTGGAGGAGGTGGGCGGAAACCGCGGCGTCGTGGGGCAGCTAAGGCGGCCATGGCGGCGGTTTCGGCTGAGGGAGCCGGAGGTTAGGGGTGGCCCTGACAGGTGGGGCCTCGGGTCCACCTGTCGGCGAGGGGAGGAGGGAGGAGGCTGGGGGTTAAGTGGACTTGGAGGAGGGGGAGCCGAGCTGGGCCGGCCCACGCGAAGAAAGGAGGGAAGGAGGGAAGGGAAGGGAGAATGGGCCGAGCCCAAAGACAAAGAGGGGAAGTTTATTTTGTTTTCTTTTTATTTAAATTAGTTTAATGAACTTTGTGACTTTAAAACTATTTCTCGAGCTCCGAAAATTCACGGAAAATTCCGGAGAGTACATTAGGGCACAAAGAATATTACAAAATATTCCCGGCCAATGATTTTTAAGGGAAAATTTCAAATTCTCCCATTAATTCACTTGATTGAGTTGATTAACTTTTTTTATTTAATTTCTAGGAAATGCATTATTAAATGATTTTTAATCCCGAACGAAAATCGGGGCGTTACAAATCTACCCCCCTTACAGGAATCTCGTCCCGAGATTCTGGGATGGCTAGAAAGAAAGCCGGTGCTGATGGGCGGTCTGACTGATCTGCATCTTGAACTGCCACATTCTGCTTCGAACTGATTGATTGACTGGTTGATCAAACCTGCACGATTGAACTGGCTGGATTCGACCTTTCTGTTCCTTTGCTTTGCCAAAACTGGACCGACTGGTTCTGCTTGAACTGACCCAGTCTAGGACTGCGGATGCTCCTGAAACTTACTTAGTTTGGACTGAACTGTTGAGGTTAGCAATTTTGGTAACCTGGGAATTCACCACGCTGGCTATAAGAGGATGAAAATGGAATCTGGCATTTATAAATCATTTACCCTATGTCCGCTTCGACTGGTCCCAATTCAAATAACAAGTAATTCCAGGAAAACCTGCTTGACCTGTCTTTCGTCTGAACTGCAACCATCCTCGATGCTACTTCTCTAAGCTGAACTGTTGACCTGGCCTCACGGGTGTACATTAGAATTGAACCTGTTGACTTGAGATTTGGAGACTCTGCTAGTGGCTCGCAACGGACTCCTTTAATTACTAACCAAATTGCTGCACTGGGTTGAACATTCAAGTGAAATGCCGACGAGGTAAACCAAAACTCATCTCTGAGACCTACCCCCCTTACAGTGGGTAGTCTTACTTTCGCCTGACTGAGAACCTTTGAACTGTTGTCCTTGAAAAAAAATGACCAACATTTCTCGGATTTACAGATGCCCTGACTTTGAAGACTGAAACTTCATCGGTCCATCAAATTGAAGCAATGGCGATGCACTTTCATCCCGACAAGATTTGGAACTTATGCCTTAGTTGATGATAGGAAATTCCACATAAAAGTGACTCTCATTTAGCTCATGGACACACTAACTCTTGACTGCAACACACTACTGCTGGAGTTCTTTCCGCTACACTTGACCTTGCATCGAGCTTTGCATCTCTTGCATCAATACACCCATCATCTGGTCTTGGACACCAAAAGTTAATCATGAGCGGGGGTTATTCTGGCATTGGGATACCTTGCAACTTTCAACTGAACCATCGATCTGTGACTTTAATACACCGTCGTTGCTCTTCTCTCTAACACTGACCATCTTCTGCCAGGGCGGAAGAGAGGTGGAAGAGAGGGGTTGCTAAAGATAAGACCTTAAACCACTTGACTAATGGTCTGTTGTGAGTAGATTTTTATTGATTCAAGTTGCTTAAGCAAACAACCTAGTATGGTCGCATCCCCACCAATGATGCAAACCATACCCCT